AGGGCAAAGCCCTGAATGTTCTGACTGTCCCTTAATTCGTATCAAATAGTTTTTGGGAAAAGAAAATATTGAAAACCTATATATTTTGGACAAAATTTATGTGTAAAATTTTGAGTCGTACGAAATTGATACGACAAATTAGCTAGCCTCAATTCAATTTGGAACGATTTTGCTGTGCGTTACGCTCTCAGCATTATGATGAATAAACTCTTAAAAGCGCGTATAATTTAGTCCAGAACATGGCAAATTTCAAATCCCCAGAACTTCACAAAAAATATTCGGAGGTGAAATATCTTTTTTCATTTGAATTTAGGAAGGCGATATCTTCAATGGGGTATTAAAATAAATTTTGTTGAAAATTATTATTATCGATTGGTGCTGAAAAAAAACGACACCGAGCATAAATATTCCGTTTTCTTCGAAAGTCGGAACAATAAACCATTGAGGAACGTTTTATTGAATAAAGATCTGAAAGTTTCATTTTCGTCAGAGCATAGCTTCTCAAATACAAAAAAGCAGCTATGGAATTTTTTCATAGGGCAAAAAAAATCCAACGTAGACAGCTGCAGTGCATCAATTTACGCTTTTTTAAAATGAATCAGTTTTGGACTGCTTAACAATTTGAGGAAAAACAGAAATAAGTGTAATAACAAAACCGTTCATTAAAACAAGCTGAATAAGAGAACTGCAACCTTCAAGGAAAAACCAAAGAAAAATTATACAGTGGTCAAATGCAACTTACTGCAAAATAAAATTAGTTTGAGCTGAGCAACCACAATGGCATTGGAGGATTTGTCAATTATTACTTTGCTTGAAATGCTAGCAACAGCCACGATATCCGCAATTATTCTTGATACGTTTCTTTGGTACATATATATGCCAGCAGTAAAACGAATGGCAGAAACTTTCGAGCGAAAAGACAAACATAAACGAAGCCTGATCAAAAAAGAAGACTTGGAGCTACAGCGGAAAGATGTATCCTATATGTACCGCTTGGCAGCTAAAAACAAAACGATGGCGAAGAAATTTCTCAATCGCTGTATGGATTACGAAACTGTGATAAATGAGCTTCACGTTATGTCTGATCAAAACGACAGTCAATTACTTAATCGATGTAAAAATATGATTTATAAATATCAAAAGGTACCTGAAATTATATCATATCACTTACAAGCATATGAAAATTATCTTAACCAGCTATCACGTCTCCTGGATCAAGCAGAGGACTGTTGGCAATGTGTTTCGATAAACTATCAGGTACCGGAAAACGCCTCGGAGTCAAAAATCAAACACTTTCAGAATTACATGAAGGATGGCTCAATTATTACTTACCTGGGTCATCTGACACAGCAATACATGTTAGTTACAAACTCATAATACATGTTAGTTACAAACTCATGATACATGTTAGTTACAAACTCATAATACATGTTAGTTACAAACTCGTAGATTAAAAAAATTTTTTTTTTCTTTTTTTTTGTTTTTTTTTTTTGTTTTTTTTTTCTTTTTTTTCGTCTTTTCTTAGTTTTTTTTTTCTCTGACATATAATCAGAAGGTCAAAAGTATCATAGTAACCGCGGTTACAGTCATGAGTCCCTTCATCATGTATTCCAGTCAAAATCCTTGGAATTTTCTAGATATGGAAGTGATAATGATAAAAGAAGATGTCAAGTGTTTAAGTCCTTTTCATTTAAAATCGATACGGGTTACGCTTCTTCAATAAGAACACGCAACTCGACACGAGATAATATAATATGCAAGTGTTACAAGTAAAAAATTTCGTCGAAAGTTATTTTGTCATTTATTGTTCCGAGTACGCAAGCGGCGTTCGCAATCTGTATTGCCAGGGAGATTCTCTGTTTTAAAAAGCTGCCTGCTCTGGGTTCCTCAGTGCATATGCTTAGGTTCTTACAAAGCTTGCTCAAAAAAAACTTCTGTGCTGGGGCCGGCCGCGCCCTGAATTTCAAAAGCTAGCGGTTGAAAAAGATATACATCATTTACAAGATCTTTATATTTGTCAATTTTTCGCTCTTCCGCTTCAGCGGCAGCCGTACCAGGGTTACAAACAGACCCGGCATTAATCCTACAAGGAGCTAAGGAGTCTACTACCGTTACATCCCACAAGAGCTGCTTACCATCAGCCCATGGAACGAGCGTCAAACCGTCTGGTCGCTTCTGATCGGTCCTGTATAGGTGTCGTGGTTCTAAAACAGACGGAATGTGAGTAGATGATAGACTCTGCTTTATAAGGGCATTCAGGTTTGAATGCCTAGAGAATCTCCCTGCACTTTTGAGGCAAGAAAGACCATGCCAATCATCCTCAGTAACGTCTTTTCCGCACACGCATTTATGCCGTTCGCATATTTTTGATCCTAATCGAAGTCCTATCGCAATTCTGAGTTGTTGGTTCGACAGTTTTAACCTTAAATTTTTGCAGGGGATGACGTTCAACCATTGGGATCCAAATCTATCTTGGAACGCGTTGAACCTTTTCACGTCCGTTGGTTCGAGTCGTAAAATCAAGTCTGCAATTTCGCTGTCAAAAATTGGCTCCGTCCAATTTTTTTGGATTTCATTTTCCGGAGCCATTTCAATTTTTCCAAGGTCAAACCACCGTTTAAGCGCATCATCATAGGTTCCATCCACATGCTCCAAACCAAAGATTTCGCTCAAGGCATCTTTTGCTCCTACTGCTGAGGCTAAGAAAGCGGGTAAAGTGAGTAGACGAGCGGAAGAAACGCCCAAGCCACCTTTGGCTGCCGGGAGAACTGCTTGTAAAAACTGGTTATCATCCATTTTCACGTTAGTGACCTTGCATAACGAATTTCTTAGTAATTTATCGTAGCGTTCCAAAAAATCATTTTGCAAAAAACAAGGGCTCGTACTCAAAAAATATAGGAGTTTTGGCATGCTAAAGCAATTTTTCAGGATGTAAAAACCATAATGGGCGTCTAGTTTGTCAATGACATCCGAGATTTTTTCAAGCTCCCTAATTTTTTCGTCGAGTAATTCTTTTCGGCAAAGTTCGCCGATTGGAGATCCTAAAATGAGGAGTTCTTCTTTTGTTTTTATTTTTATTTTGGGGCATATTTTTCGAAATTGTGTTAAAATTGAATTATACTGTGTACTAGTAGTCGGTCCCAAAAAACAAAGTTCACACTTCTCAGTGTTTAAGCTCAGGCCGTAAATTTGTTCCGATTTCAGAATGTTTTTAAGGTCCCGGAGTACTACCTTATAGTCGTCGGCTAAATTCCCATCATCTAAATACCAGATGTTAATTTTCGACTCCAACTGTTTGACTAGTGTATGAATTGTTTCCGCAAAAAGGGGTGGGGCTTCAGGATCACCTTGCTGAGTTCCGTCTTCTGACATTATGACAGAGCTTCCGTAAAAAAGGTAACTAGGTTTAGCATACGCGCAATGGGTGTAATTATATAATTCGGGGCGATTTGAAAAAACATGATTCAGCATTGTTTCTCTGTTTAAAGAGTTAAAGGCATTCTTAAAACCTAGTTTTAAAAGAACAGTACATTTTGGATTGTCGTCGCGTTCAATTAGGTTTCGAAACGAGTGCGCAGCTATTTCTGCTCCTCGTTTGGTACTGCATCCTACCTGTACGTTTCCGAAAAAATTTTGTCGCTCGGAGAGGGCCTTGCTTCCAGCGCATTTAGACGCGATACGTCTCAGCGTGTTGCCTATGGCAATCGGTCTCAACCCTCCGTCTATTTTTATGAGGGCGATAAGCTTTGCGCCAAAAAAGAAAGGTCTTAGTGGTTCCGGTATTTTGCCATCTCCAATGAGGTTTATCAGCTTAGTAAGCGATTTCAGAAAATTAAGTCCTGCACTGCCATTCGACTTACTAACAAGATCTTTAAAAATTTGAGGAAATATTTTATCAGGACCTGCTGCTGATCCGTTTGGAAAGGACATTATCGCTTTGTATAGGTCGAAATCGGTTACGAAAAAACTATCCAACTTTTCTGGATTTGGAGCTGCAAATTTGGCTCGCTGCGGGTGCTTAGATAATAATTTTTGATAGTTATCAGTTGAAAAAGGAGCTATTTTGTCATCCGAAGCAGCAAGCCTTATTCCTCCCTTTACATTTCCTTCATCGAGCTTACTACTTATTAACTTTATTCTCTGCTCGAGGTCACTCAGAGGCGGGCTTGAAACTTGGGGATGGGGTTTTGGAAGTGACACGTCATTTGCTCGAATTTTTTTATTTATCAAAGAGCTCATGCTTGTGGTCTGTTTGCGTCCACTTCTTTTCGGTTGCTCCAAAAAAAACAAGAACGACGTTTAAAAAATTAGCCATTTTGTAACATCTTCTACATTGTAGACGATGTCATTTATTTTGTCCGACAGATTTTCCGCCAAGGGAACACGCGAGTCTTTTGGTACTCTCTTGAGTACTCGGACATTTGAGATGGCTGTATTAACATAATTGTCTAGCACTAAATCATTACCTATTGTTGCTTTATTAACAGATTTTACATCAACGCATAAAGGACACTGAAACCATTGGGTTTTCTTAGAGTCGCTAAGAGAAATATTTACACAACTGATATGATACTAACTAGAACAACAATCACATTTAATCCAATTTATCAGTCCTGAAGGTTTTAAGCAATCTTTGCTTGTACACTCTTTGTTGTTTTTCCTCATCTTGACGCAGCATAAAGGTAAAAAAAAGGATTTTGACTGGACTTTAGGGGACTGAACTAACCCATGATAAGCGGTTAGTGGGAATTTTACAAATCAGCAAATAAAAAAAAAGACAACTAAATTAATTTAAAAGGTTAAAAGGCAGCATAAAGGTTAAAAATCAAAAACAAGGAACAATCTCACCCGAGCTCAGTAGGTCCAGCGGCGCACCACCAGACTTCTCAAGCCAGTTCCAGTTCCCCACCTCCCCACAGAAAGCCACTTGACAGACCTGTCTCTAAAATCCCTCAGAGGGCGCTCCACACACAGGCACAAACATCAAACATAACAAATCTATTTAATAAGTTTATCACAACAATTAGGCTAAAATGATCGGACAACCAAAATTTACGAAATGACTCTTTCATCAGATATTCAAAAAATGAATTCACTCGCTTTTGCAGATTTGAACTTGCTCGTTTTCGCACATTTGGTGCATCATCAAGATTGAAAGTTTCATACAAGTTCGAAAACGTTAATTTCGTGAAATAAAGAACGTTTTCGCACATTTTTAGTGCATAATCAGGTTTCAAAAACCTAATATTTTTTGGGGGGTAATCAGGTCAAAAGTATCATAATAACCGAGGTTACAGGAGTCCCTTCACATATTCCGGTCAAAATCCTTGGAACTCTCTAGATGTGGAAGTGATAATGACAAAAAGGAGATGATTAGTAATGAAGTAAAAGTAGTAGTAGAAGACTTAATTGCACAAAAAAACTAAATTACAAAAGGGGCCCTTCCGTTTAGTTACGGTAAGTGCACAAGCTTGATAGGGCCATACCAGCGATATAAAAATGCATATATATATATATATATATATATATATATATATATATATATATATATATATATATATATATCAGCAATGATGTCATAAATCAGCATTAAATGCATCGTCGTAATGTTAATTTATCTTAGCAGTCCTTCCTCTACAACAGCGCTTATGGAGTTGTCGATAAATTGAAGTTTGCGTAGCGATCTGCACCCCCTTATACAAAGTATAGAGCTCCTCAGGAGCGCGAATCTTATTTAAGTTCTTAAGTAGTTTATAGATTCTGGATAGCTTTATTGTCTTTTTACACTTAGTTTTTCGGCTAATAGCTGCATCGTCCGCGTGGCTGTTGGAGCAGCGCCACCGGTGCATCCGAAAATTAGCGGGCAGAAGCTACTCTGCTCTACGTTTAAAATTCGGGAGTTCGGAGTTCTTCAGCGTTTCCTTGTATTTGTATGCGTCCTTATGCAGTTTTCGCGATGTTTTGGCATGGGGATTGAAAAGCGCGGCTGAATCTTGAACCCTAGAGTCCGTTTGCCTTAATGTCAAGTCGTGCATTATCTTCAGTTGTAGTTGAATCGTTGACAAAGCTTTCGCCTTGCAACGGCTGAAGTTTCGGCTCAATCTCGACGTCATGGCAAACCTCGTTCATGAGGTTGGCGAATGTGTCTCTAGTTTCATTGTGTCTTATGTGTGTGTAACCACCCTTTGCACAGTGAAGCGCATTTGTCAAGTTAAACTTAGCACCACATGCACATGTGAGTGCGTTTTTGGTTGGTTCCCATCCGTATCTTTAGTAAATACAATCTCTGAGTTCTGATTTATTCAGGTTGAAGTTGTATCTGCTCAGTGGTAAAGCATTCAGCCAGTTACAGACTCCCTTTCCAGAGACCAGGTCGATTGCATATTTATCTGTTTCATTTAAAGAGTTAATGAGGTTTGTTTCTTTTTTCGATTTGTTCTTTCAGTTTTCAATTTTTTGATTTTCGTACTTATTTTTTCTTGCCGTGTTACTGCTGTAACAGGATCTTGAGATTCCAGTACTAGTGATCTTTCCTCAGACCATTCTAGGTAGCTTTTATGATCGGATGGCAGCTTGATGTTAAGTCCGCCCATTTTAAGGGGTAAGGAGGATATCTCACGGAATTGTTCTTTGATAATATTTTCACTTATTTCTAAGTTTTCCATTGTGTTAGGCTTTGTCCTGGCAAGAAATGAAAACTTTTCTTGAACTCCTTTAGTATAGCAGGCATAAACATTTTGGGGGGAGGTTTTAGCGATTTTCGTTAGTTTTTTCAAAATTTTGATTTGCTCATTCTGTTGAAGTTTGAGGAACTTTTTACATTCAGATGCTGTTCCTATAACTAAACCAAGCACTTGGGCTCCTGCCTTTGTAGTGATTCCTGTATTTGCGAAGATTTTCTGAACTTCACCGAGTTTTTCATCCTTGACAATGAGTTGGCATTTGGATTCTTTCACGTGGTAGCCAAAAAAAATACCCAGTGATACAATTTTATCGATGACGGTTCGTAGATTGCTTAATTTACCGACTGCGTTTCCGTCGTCTGCGTACCATTTCTGGGTTACATCGTCCACTGATAAAAGTTTTATCAGGGGTATTATGGCTAGACTGTACATGGCCATTGCTAGTGGATCCCCCTGGGTTGTCCCTTCTTGAGAGTAGATTGTTTTTTTGTTAACGAACAGTTTAGATGGATTGGAGTAGGAGTTCTTAATCGCTGTTAAAAGAGAAGGGCAGGTGTTTCTATTTTTTTCAATGCCAGCTTTCGGTTCAGCGAGTTGAAAGCGTTTTCGGCATCTATCAGTAAAACAGCATCGACGGAAGTTTTGCTGTATTGATCTTTTAGCGTGTGGATCGCATATTCAATGCCTCATTTTTGTCCTAGACAGAGATGGTAGTTCGAACCGAGCGACATGAGTTCGTTTTTTAGGCATTTGGTTATTGTTCGCCCTATTATCCTACGCATAACTTCTTCCATGCCTATGGGTTTTACCCCTGGATTCTTATCTAAGGCTATTAATCTGCATGCGTTATATGGCTCCATTTGTTCTGGATTTAGTTCTTCGGTGGCCAATTTTTTGGAAATTTTAGCAATTGTTTTGAAATCTCAACTGATTGTAGCCCGAAGTGTGTTAAAATACGTCTCCATTCATTTGCATTGAGGCCAGATGGTTGATGCGATCTGTGCGTTCTCATGGCTGCCTTCTTGCTATGTTGACAATTTATCTGATCAAATATCGATGGATGGAAAGGAATTGTTTCGTTTGAGACGGGTAAAAAATAGTTCTCATCAATTGGTTTAGATAGTGGGTGCTTCTCTATGAGAGTCTGTTCTACTGTCTTACCTTTGACAATCTCATCGAACGAAAGAACGCCTTTAGATGTGTCTGTTAGTTTTGCAATTGCGCTTGATATTTTTCCAGTATTCATTAGTTTGTTGAAGTGTTGTGCTTCAGTTTCAACTTCTCTTCTTCTTCCTTTCAACAAGCGCATTTGCAGCGCCTTCCTTTTGCTATATAGTTCATCCAGGTCTCCGTCTTGCCATTGCTTAAGTCGCCTTGCTATTAATTTGGATAAAGATCCGTCAATTTCGGACTTTGTTTTGCACAGTAATAAGTGTGGAAAAATCATCGCTGCGAGCATTGCGAAGGTTTTTTCGTTGTTTTCTATTAGGCTGTTCAAAGTTCTATTGAGGGTTTCAATAAAATTATAACCAACTTTATTTTTTGCCAAGATCATAAAGACCGGTTTCCAGTGGACCACTTCGGTGTATATTTTCCTGGTGGTTTCTATGAGTTCTGGACAGGGGTTTGACCATGGGTCTTGTATTTTTCTGGGTTCTATAGTGGAAGACTCTCCTGAGTTTTGTGAGTGTGGGGCAGTGGAAGGGTGAAGGTGCATTTGGGGGAGCGTGGTTGTAGCTAGGGTTGGGGGATTGCATTCATGCTTGTCGTTAGCTGAATGAAATTGAGAGGTGCAGCGATGACAACTGAATTCGTCATAGTGATCACTTCTGCGGGCTAGGCCGCTGCATTTTACATGCATGTAGCCTGGGCATGTGAATACCAAACACCTCCGCCTCGCAGGCTGTTTTTACAAATAAGGCAGCGTGTTTGAGTAGCCATTTTTGAAGGAGGGCGGTATCAAGTTACCGTAGAACGAGAAATGGATACCATCACGGCAGAACATTTGTGGGGCTATATTTAGGTTGAGGTTAGGTGAAACAATAAATGTATGGGGGAATACAAATCAATGAATCAAATTAAACAAATACCAAGACTAAATACCAAGACAATTATATACAGAATTAAGGGTTTAAATTTTCATCGCAATCCACTTGAATAAACTTGATAAAGCATTTTTTAACAGTCAGGAGAAACAGCAGGGGTGTCAAAAATCCAAATTGACGTGTTGAGATGCAGGAAATTTGCGTTACGTACTGCTCTTGGAAAGAAGAACTCGTCGGTTTGTCGCTTCTTTGTGATTGGCTCGTGAAACATCTTCTCGTGGTTTCTCAAAGCATATCGTTTATTCGGTTTCATAGATATGTAATCCCAGATAGAAAAATCTTTTTGGCCTGAGACGATTTTGTCGAAGAGAAGTAAGCCTTTAAACTGAAGGAGTGCGATACTAGGAAAAAGATCACACTTGACAAAAAGGTTACTATTGAAAAGATGGCAAAGAGCAAATCCACCATGTACACCTCCTTTGAAATTTTCAAGAGCTAACTCGATACGGCTTACGTTTCTTCAATAGGAACACACAACTCGACACGAGAAAACATACAACATATTGTATTGTAAGCAAAAAATTCCTCAAAAGTTGTTTTTGTCATTTATTGTGCCAAATGCGCAGGCCGCGTTCGCAGTTTGTATTGTCATGGAGATTCTCTGTTTTAATAAGCTGCCTGCAATGGGTTCCTCAGTACATAAGTTTGGGTTCTTACGAATCTTGCTCAGAAAAACGTTCGTGCTGGGGCCGGGCGCGCTCTGAAAATTAAGAGCTAGCGGTAAATAATTATATTCAACATCTGCTAAGACTTTCTATTAGACATTTTTTTGGTCTTCCGCTTCAACGGCAGCCGTACTGGATTTACAAACCTACCGCGCAAAAGTTTTACAGGGGGTTAGAGTGTCTATTACCGTTCCATCCCACAAGAACTGCTTACCAACGGTTTTTAGAACGATCGTGAAACCGTCTGGTCCCTTCTGATTGGTCCTGTAGAGGAGTCGTAGCTCTAAACCAAAAAGAATGTGAGTAGAAGATGCTTAGTGAATCTTTTAGTTACAATTTTTTTTTCCGCACGCGCTTTTATGCCGTTTGGAAATTAATGAGCTAAATTGCAGTCCTATCTCGGCTCTGAATAGCTATTGCGATAGTTTTAGTCTTAGATTTTTACCTGGATGACTCAACCATTTTTTTTGGATTTCGCTTTCCTTAGTCATTTCAAGTTCAAACCTACCGTTAAAGCGCATCATTATAAACAACCGTTTTCTGTCTCTCTCTCTCTCTATGTCTCTATAGGTTCC